TCATCACTTGGGTAATTAAGGAATGACCAATATACTTAAAGCCTGAAACGAAACACAAACTTGAAAATAAAGTAAAAAAACTATCCATAATTCAACTTGAATAATATGAAAGAGGAGCACAGGCTGAAAATGGAGGATTAAAGGTAAATAAAATAAAAAATGACAATGATACGAGAGACAATGTCCCCTTCAAGGACACAATAAAGGCTCAGTATAATCACTTTGAAGTGTCAAAATGAGAACCTGCCTCATTTACACACTCGGTTCTACAGTATGGGCCAGAGACATGCCAGCATCGGTCGTCTGTGCTACACAGCATCACACAAAAAAACCTACACCAGCACGCTGCACTGAATGAAGCTTCACAATGGAGCTGGCTAAGAGAGCCGCTGTTACACACCACCCCGGGGAACAGACAATACCACAGCTGTGCCATCGCGGATCAACAACGCACTGTTCTCTAACCGAGTGGTGGTTTGGGTTAAGCGGTGCTGGAAAACAATCACACATTCCTGAAGAGGGTAAAAAGCCCGAGAGAGAGGGGGTGGCCTTGCTCGGGCTGAGGCTGAGGTTTCCAGCTGGCCCGAGCAAACACCCCAGGGCTCCCCTCTGGCCGGGACACCAGGCAGGCTATTTAGCAGCTATTATATGACAGGGGTATGATGTATTGCTTTGAAGTTTCAAAGCCAATCTGCAACTGATACACAAACATTAAGGAATGTCAGTAAATCAAAGTATTGGCTTTGTTTTAGTACTACTAAATGACCCAATGGTAATTTTCTTTCAGAGGAATTACATCATGACAGTACGATCGAACTGTTTTACGATTTTATACATTTCTGCTGTTTCGAGTTCAAATGGGTTAAGTTATTTTGTCACATAAGAGCAGAAAGATTTGTAGATTTCTGGGTTATCAACAAAAAATGCACTTCAAAAAACACGACATTGGAGTTTAAAATATAAAAAAAATATGCAATGTGCAGTATTACATGTAGAGTCAAGAGCTTAATTTATGCTTGAGAGTAAAAGCCAGGAGATGTTTGTTTCTGCTGTTGTGATTATTATAAATTCATCATCTATCAGCTGCACAATTGTTTAGGTATGCAATGCTATATTTATTTTTTATGGTTATTTAAACAGAAACATAACAATCGTGTTATATGGTGATATTACTGTTCATATTAGTAATATGGCAGCACTGACATCCATACAGTTACCCTTTCACTTCCCTTTAATAGATAAAATATTGATTATAATTACCTATCATATCACATTTTATTATATTTTAACTTTGCTAGCTGGTGGAATGACCACTGGAATGACGGCTGTTTATCATATTTTTCCCGATTATTTCATCTTAAACTACAATAAGAACTAACTGAGAAAATCTGATTTCTAACTGACGTCCACACTGTATGTTTCAGGAGGGGAAAAAAAGTCTAACAAGTCTCCAAACCAAGCGCTTCCCCATCTTTCCTTCCCCCGTGCGGTGTATGAAGAAGACGCTGTCTGTTTGCGCTGAAAGGAGGGTAAACACGGGTCCTGGCTCTGCCGCTCAGACACCCCTCCTCCAAGAAAGCGCTCCAGCGCTACAAGTGCGTGTAAAATTAATCACCACAATTCTGTTCAAACAATGCAGCCACTGACATGACAATTTCTCCCAGAATGCCATCTTAATCTCCACCCAACACACAAAAATTACAGGAAGAGGGGGGTGAAAAAAAAAAAAAAACAATTTAGAAAAATCCCGTGTTTATGCAATTCACTGAATGCCATTTTTTATTGCTGCTTTTTTCCAACAAAGTCATTAGGCACACACCAGTGATACATAAATGTTGCTGTATAGATTCCATTAACTAATTCTGGGTGAATTGTAATTGCCGAGTCTGATCCGTCTCTGTGCCTGGTGCCTTATTAAGACTGCCTGTGGTGGGTGAGGAATGTAATATTGACGTCCGAAGCAGACACAATCTCGGGCCCACGGGCAAAAGGAATATTAAACTGGTACTGTATTCTGCTGTCTATCTAGCCCTCCTCCCTCCTCCGCTCTATCCCCATCCCGTAGCCAGTAATGAGGAAATAACATCTTCATTAGACATCTGTTTAACTGTATTAGAGGATGAGTCCTGGGGGAACCATTGGTCATGCTGAGGAGGGTGGGAGTAAAGGAGGTCTGTTGGACTACAATGTGACGGATGAGATACTGCAGAATAGGAACAAAAGGTCCAGCGATTGAGGCCTTTTAAACAGACAAACTTAAAATTGTCTTCTGCATTTTCATAAATAAATAAAAAAATAACAGTAATGGGTGTATTCTCTATGGATACTTGGGCTGAAGATTTTATCCAAGAGTAGCAGACGTGAGAGGGAGGGGCATCCTTGCCACCTACAGGAAGAGGTGAGAGCATTACCCAATAAAACAACTCTGTTCAGCTGTTTTTTGGATACAAACCCAGATCAGTGGTTGCTAAAAACAATTCCCCCACACGTCGCTCCTGACACGACCTCAACAAGACACACACAACCCCACCCCTTTGGAAAAACAACCCACCTGAGCAAGGAGAGAAAGCACCATTGGGACCATATGGTGGAGGTCCTTATAAGGAGCTGGGTATGCAGCACGCGGCAGGGGATGGCACCACGCCCACCCTCCCGTCCACTGAGGTGTCAGCTGTGCCACATGGGCTAGCTCTTGGCAGGGGAGCCTTTCGCAGGTGTGCGGTTTTTCTCTCGAGGGCCGCCGGGGAAAGAGGGAGGCCAGACACGTTTGGTGTGCTTCAACGGGCCTGTTATGTAATCATGTGATCAAACCGAAAAGTGCTGATGACTGAGCGGGGCAAAGTTGGGGATTTTTTTCTGCTGTGATGGCTGTCAGCTCGCTAACGTGTCTGCTCGCGGTGTCTCGGGATAAGCTGGGGAATGGAGAGAGATTCCTCTCAGGTAGCAGAGATTCAGAGCAGCTTTAGCAGATAAACTATGAAACGAGAGAGCACAAAATACAGAGCTGTCTGGATTATCCTGCTACGCATTCCTCCAGAGACTCACAGCTGAGGCCTTTAGCATTCCACCAGCCAAATGTTTCTCTCTGTGAACCTCCCAGTGCAATCGATAGTAATTATCATTACGTCCACCATCCTCAAAGGCTTGTCAGGCCGTGGTGTGAAAACATAACAAGACATGCAATTCGGCCATCAAACTATATGATCAAGCAAAGAAAACTGTAATTGACAAATCAAAGGGAAGCTAAATTGCTACATTTAAACTTATGCAAGAGAGAGAAGTGGCTTCCAAGCCTATCAACTTACATTCCCCCACATTAAACACGGCAATCTGGCCGACTAATTTAAATTGATACATCAAAGGCTCACAATGTTGGGTATATTCCAGATGAATTTCAAGGTCTTACCATTTATTATTTGAGAGAAACTGACGTCGAGTACCCGTATTAACTTCAAAATATTTTGCCATCTGAACATAATTTCACAAAGCAATAATTTGTTTGGGAGGGTGAGGTCGGCCTATTTCCCAGCAAATGAAAACCCAAAAAAATGAGAAGTAGTTACAAAAAAAACTGTTTAGGAGGGCCAACAAAGGGACAAAAACAACAAATGACATTTAAGAAATGAATTATGTTGGGACACAGCACACTCACTACAAGGGCAGAGCAGGTATGAACGGCTGGTCAGTTTTGGCATTTCATCTGAGGGAAAGGCCTGAACAGAGGGTCTCTGCATGGCCGTGGCATTTATGCCAGTATTGTTGACAGGGTTAAATCACACAAATGCCCTGCACGCCAGAACCTAGAAGCAGGTCTCGACCATCCGGGAACCCTCGCCCAGTTCTCTCATCTTTTCCCCTCTCCAGTAACCCCCCAATAACCTGAGTGTGCCAACTGATCCACAGCCTCATAGCTCATCCCAGTCTAGGCCCTGAACAGATAATGACTAAAACCTTTTATGCTTATTTCTCTAAACTGGAAGCGTAGATTATACATTCACACTTAAGAGCTTATATGGTGTAACTGTGCGCTCTGGATGAAGTCCTCACCACTCATCAACCCTAGCTGGCGGTTGTGGGTAAGGGGGGTTGCAGAGCCTTTTAATGACTTTTTACTTGACCATAATCCACAACTGGATCTAAATCCCCCGAGATTATAAACTGGGGCTACGGTTAACATGCAAAATAGGAGCCAAATATCAGCAGACTGCATGGATATTTTCGGCCCTCAAAATAACTGTAAATGTCTGGCCAAGAACAGAGTCCAATCAAAAGCATGAATACCAGGGGAGCAATAAGGATGTCCAGTTAAAGCATGACAAAGAAGTGCAGCGTTTTAACCCCCCCCCTTTTTTTTTTTTGAAACCCTCTTTTTATTGTTTTGTCCTTTTTGCCTTGTCCTGGGAACACTGGTGAAAGCTGGCAGCCTTTGGTTCACCTCTCAGAAACAGTAAGACAGGGCAGGATCTAAGACTGATGCAGTCTGGGCTTAAGGCCAGTCCCCTGGGTAGCTCTCCCTCTCCAGTCCCTGCCCTACTTCAGCAGGGCTGACCCTGTACCCTGACCTTCTCCAGACCTCCTGCCACATCGCACACACTGGCCAAGCACACAGGAAGCCGGCCCAGCACTGCGCACTTTATAACACACACAATTTCATTTTCACTTGCTGTCCTCCCGCTATCACAGAGTCCTCACAGCCTGCCAAGGTGTACAGCAGGAAGAAATTACATCATATTCAACAATTTCTATTCTGGAAATAGTAACTTAGAAATATATGACATGGTTGGAAACAGCCCAGTATGCACAAACAGGGACAAAAAGGTAAAGTGTTGACACTAAGCTGCCACCAAAATGCAGTGTGGAAAATGAGTAAAATCAGCAAAAAGTGTGATGTAAGGCAGTCTGGTTAACCATGCAAGATAAACACACAGACAAAGCAGGAAGGGGTAAAATACTCCTTACATGATACGGTCAGCAGCAGGCGAAGCTGCAGGGTGGGTAGATGGCAATGCAGGGACCGTAAACTGTGTTTATGACTGAGCGAGGGGAGAGGTAGTTGAAGAGAGGGGAGAGGGAGGAGCGCAGAGAGTGATCCTGTTCCTCTCAGACCCAGGAGGCAAGAAGGGGAGAGATTAGAAATCGTGCCATGTCAGGATTGGGAGCATGCTGGGCAGTGGGGGGGGCAGAAGAACATGGATGTCAGGTTTGGGGGGGTGGAGGGCACAATAATTGGGATATACATACACATACACGCATTCTCACAACGGGTGGCTGATAGGTAAACAGGGAGGGTAAGGTGCTGGGAGGGAGGACGGCGACTGGGTTCTGCTTCTGAATACTGAACAGAGGATCAGGGAGACCACTGCCTGTCAGTCAGGGCGCAAAAATACCACTTTCTGTTCCAGACAGCTTCACGATGCAAAAAGTCAGTAGGGGAATGTTTAAAGACTGCCGCCACTCAAAAATGTCTTCTTATTATTGTTACTTCCCTTGATGTGAGTTAGTCACCAGAAGGCTCCTCTGCTGAAGGAGGGAGGCTCTTTGTGCCTTCCTTAAAGTTCTCTTTGAGAATTTAATACTTCAGTTACTGATACCTACTCGATTGCAGAGTACACCAATGTAATTTTTTTATACAATAACTAAAATCCCAGAACAGAACATAATGCATCAAGAAATTCTGGAATTGGGAAACACACTTTTCATATGCCTACCTGCAGACAGTAATGCAGAAGCCACCACAAGCTGCAGCCCCCAGGAGGCTACTCATCAGGTTAACACTGTGGGCTGGAGAGAGTGAGGGCAGCAGACGCATAGCCATGTGAGCCAGTAGAGTGAAGAGTGGGTATCCTGGAGGATGGGCCACCTAAAGACACAAACACAAAGACAAGGGCCATTTCACACGTGAACTTTTTACACTTTTGGGAGAATCAGGTGCTCCTTTCTTACATGCAGCATATAGCAGAAGATGCGTTCTTACTGCTATACTAGAGGAAATACTCCATTTGGTTTGGGAAGGGAAGCAGCTTTGATAAAGTGAGTAAGGGGCAAAAACACGTGATTCTGCTCACTAGTGTAAAATTCAGTGATCTGCTATTCACACACTGGCACAATCCCAGAGATCAGGCAGACAAACCACTGATGTTTAGAAAAAGAGCTGCAGTATGTGTAAAAATAGCTCACAATGTGATGCTATCACAATAGGTTTACCACGATGATGATTGTATCACAATACCTTATACATTAAGAGACAATAATCAATGATATATGCACCTTAACTGTGCAACTTTAAAAAAACAGAAGACAAATAGAAGAAAACATTTATTTATTCCCTGCAATGTAGTGCCAGTATGCATCACTATGAATTACTTTTACTCCATTTCAGTAATGAAACTGTTTAGTTTTTTAGCTCTCTTTTCCCCTTTTAAATTTCTTCTTCTTCAGCTTCTGTTTTCCCTTAATTATGTGATAAGCGCCGGTAGTGACTCCGGTACATCGGGACTGTGTGGAGAGTCCCTACAAAATTTACTTTTAAAAACTATGATTTTTAACAGCGGTGTACCATATCTGTAATTCTATCGCACAAGAAAGGGATTTAATATATTGCTGTATCAACATTTTATCCTCAGCAGGTAAGCACACGTGAATTTTGCGAGGAGTCAGAAACATCCTGCTTGGCTTTACTCTGACTGTGCTGTCATACGAGAGCCGTACACTCCCTTTCTTTTCCCCTCTTCTCACTTCTTTGCTGCGGGCCTCTTCCCAAGGACAGTGCAGCTCCCTAGAGCCCATGGTATAACACGTGGTGCTCGCCAGCCTCAACCCCCAAACCACCGCAGAGCCGTAGTCATTTTCGCCTGGGAGATCTTGGCAATCGCAGCAATTAGCCACTAAGTCTCTTCCACCCAGATAAGGGCTCAGTCATTAAACACAGACTCATTCCCTGGCACAGATAACACAAAGCATGCAGGCAGTGAGAAGGGGCAGCTCTTCGAATGAACAGAAAGCCGAAAGGTGAGAGTGTGACTGACTCACCAGTTACCTCGAACACGGCAAAGGATCTTTTTGCAGACATGCAAACAGCTTTGCGAAAATTTGAGTGAGGAGCTGGGAATGGAAAAGGCGCGTCGCAATAACTCGATGAGCAAAAAGCGAGGCTGTAAATATGAGAGAAAGAAAAGCTCCAGCAGCGAGAGTGGTGAACTAAATGGTAGCATCACGCAGGTGGGTAACGTCACCAAAATGAAGAGCGATTAAGAGCATGAGGAAGGACTGTGTGGGCTGACAGTAGTGTACGACATGCAGCTAAAGGACAGCTGAGCGATAAAGGCCACAGGGAGCAAAGAGAAGGAGAACTCTCAAGCTCTGGGGATCAGAAGAGGGGGGCCAGCAGCCTGGGTCCCAGAGATGGCCTGCAAGGCCCTGGGGAGGCCTGAAAGGCAGACAGGCAGGCCACACGGACTGCAGCACTAACGGCAGGATTACTGGCATAGTGACACCGACACAGCCTCCCTAAAAGGATCACAGCGGCGTAATAAACTTTATTAAATAATAAAACTTATTATAACTGTTAACCCGATTTAGTTCATTCTTCGCGGCTTACACACACACACAAAAAAGAGGGGTGGATATAATAAGCCTTATACCGTACATAAGGCAAAGCCTACAAAAGCCATCGCCTTACCATTGACTTTAATTGGATTTGAAAAACGGGTTGCAAATTATAGCATTCTCTACTTGCAACTTAGTAAAATAAGTGTATAGAAAAGAAGGGGAAAAACCTGTGGACTGAAAGTAAATTAATCTGCTTTCTGCCCATGCTTAATTAAACTTCCTTAATGCTTATAAGAGTTAATGAGTGAATTGATTAAACAATACAGCTAATACTTACCCCCAGCTCACAAGCAGTGGTGATCAGCTCTCCTGTGGAAGAGAATAGGGGAGGAAATTAATGTAAACCCAATAATTATTATTAAGAGACAAGTCTGCTCCCAAAGTTTTCCCAAATCAAATACTTGCACTGGGGTTTTGCATTAATTTGCCAGGATCAAAACCTGCAAATCTTCCCAGTGTGACATTTCCTAAGCGGCACGCTCATTCTCTTCATCTTTCACTTCTCCCCCGATGCCTCCCTCCCTTCTCCGGCACATACACACAGATATAAACACACGCGTATACACACAAACCATTAGACTCCCCCTCCAATGCTCTGTCACACAAAGACACACATATGCAGATCTGAGAATAATGCTTCCAGTCCCATCCTCCCCATGCATTAGGGTCCTTTCCTCTCCTCTTTCTTCTGCTGCTCTACGTGCCTCTCTCCTGCTCCCACACTCCTAATGTCTCAATGTCTCGTTTAGTCCGTTGGGCACAAACAGAAAGGCTACGCCGGTGACAGTCACAGAATGAAGTAAGCTGTAAAAATAAAAGCCGGCTGCACAATTTTTTGACAAGCTCTGTGTGAGGCGCAGCACAAAGTGAAAAGAAAACCCCTAAAAGCTTTTTGAGGGAGCTTTAATGTATCTGGGCACAAACCCATTTGTGCCAGAATACACCCAGAGCATTTCAAATTATACTGATTTCTCACCCAATGTTTGCATCTCCCACTCATGAAAATTGAAATTTGGTTCAGATTAAATGACATTGATAAATGTTTAGGTTCAGGACAGCCCCCTCTACTGGTACCAGACGGGTAGTCCCTTCCTCCGTCAAACACATCCAATGAAACGCTGGCCTTGTTTCTTGCAGACTCTATCACTTTTACAAGCTATGTCGAATCCGTAAGACACTACACACGATTCCATTAAATCACATTAAGGTAAATTAATTTATATTGCTCTCCTGTGTTCACTGGTTTTCAAACATATAGCACATAAGAAAGAAGAAAAGAATACAGCTGTTTCAATCTGAGCAGCTGTTGGTGCTGTTACATATATTTAAAAACAAACAAACAAACATCTGCACAGTAGGGACATGAGCAGTGATGCAGTAACAACCTTTACAAAACAGAAGGGCTGGATTTCAGATGGCACTGGTTTCCTCTCATATTTTGCAACCTTGCTGATACAGTGAATTACGATGCCTAAATTTCTGCCACATGAGGAGCCCTAACTCTTATCAGTCTAATGGACCATGAAGTCAGAACTCCTCCACCTGCACAGCTTAAATGTTTCCACAGCTCCATTTCACCTGGCATGAGCCGCCAGCTACCTGCCATCATTTAACATCACACTTTCTCATCCTTCATCGGCTTCTCAATTTCACTCATTTTCCCCTTAGAAGTGGCACACTTTTACACCATTCAATGCTGAAACTCAAACTAATACCAAGCCAAAACATCCATCTCAGTGCAACAGAGATGCAGTTCTGCAGCCCCAATACTAAAAAGGGAAAATATTGACTCAACGGGGTAGTAGCATGGGTGCCAAGAGTCTTTGTGATTGTGGAGCATGGGCACCCACACCAGTCTTCCCATAATCCCCATCATTTCCACACTCCACATTCCTAGACAACAGCGTACCCGCGGGGCTGCGCTCAAGCCTCTCCAGGGCACATCACACCTAAAGAGATTAGGACACAGAGACGGAGACCTGGAGAATTCGGAAGGGTGTTCAGCTGGCACTATCAGAGCGGGCATCCTGCACCGTCCCTAAACACTGTGGAGAAGGGGCTGGCCATTTTTTCAAAGGCCCTGTTCGTTAGACAGCAGCACAACCAGCAGGGCTACTCAGCACTCCAATTGCCCGCTCTCGCTTCATCTCTCCTCGCTTATATCTGGCCGAGCTTTTCTTATGCTTTCATTCTGCAAAAATGCATTCCCTTCTGCAGCTCGCACGCCAAAGCAGTAAAAACCTAACAAGCAGAGCCTTCATGCCCTCAAGTCCATAATTTACAAGTTTGTAACCTTGGTATCACTTCTAAACACTGTTTGTAATTGTTCAAGGCACTCCTTCATAAACTGCATTACAAGAATGTTGGGAAAACACATCGCAAGGTACTGAGTGGAATACATTCAAGTCCACAGTAAGCCGTGTTAAATGTAAATTAGGTTTATGCATGCACACAAAATATTGAATTTAAATAAACAAGGACAATTATTTGTAGTGACTGGCTGTCAACAGTGCTTTGTCAGCAATTATGGTGTCTGTATTACCCAACAGTCAGAAAAATCTAAAAATGCATAAAATGTGGAGGAAAAGTGCAATTAGGTGTGAGTCAAACATGGTTTGCACAAACACCTAACAAACAAAAGGTTGCTGGTTTGGTCTGGCGAGAGACACAAATAACTTTTGGGATTGTATCAGGAAGAGCATCTGTTGTTAAAAAATTAATTAATTAATATGTCACAAAATAAAATGAAAATGTTAACAGTTCTGAAACACATAATATGCTATTATTTGATTTTTTTTTAAAAATTGCAATTTTATCTTACAGTACCATTGTACCTATGTGTAGCAGGTAACACTGGGTCAAAGCATATTTTTATAGTAACGACTGAATCACATTTAAGTCATTAAAATGTTTCCTATTCATTCACTCTTAATAAAAATAGGTGTGAACCAAACTGTGACTTTGGAGAACTGTTATACCTCTACAGACTTCAACAAAATCCAAATAAGTTATGTTATAGAATTACAAGTAAACAAGTACAAGTACAACTAAAAGCAGCTGAGTTTAAAGAACAGAAAAGCATAAACTACATTAAACTACATCATCCCAAATAGGACAGGAAATTGTTCTTTACAGCACCACCAATTTACGTCAAGATAATTGACGTCAAGATATTTTAAAAGAATAAGAAAGAAAACAACGAAATAAATACAGATAGTCGTGTATATTTTTTGCATTATTTGTTAATTACACTGACTGAATATTATGAAATAATGCATTTTGTCTTTACCAGCCAGCGTTGATTCCAAAATCAGCCTTAAACACTGGAAGTAAAAAAGGTATTAGTGTCTCATTTAGAGGTTTTCGTATTTACCGCGGACGATTTAAAAACATGAATGAAAGAATGATTCTTTCAATTTATATATGTGTATCTCAAAGTCTGGCATGTGTTTGTTTACGTTGTCACGTCGACAAACGTCGCTTTACCTGCACTTGCAGCACCATGGACAGCACCAGTCAAGCTGCAGCGGTTTCATCAACAAGGTGCAATATGATTGGCTCCCGGCAACACAACAAAGCCACGTGACCAAATGAGCGTTAGCTAGCCTGCTAGCACCAACCTGAGTCTCCACCGGGGACCGTCCTCTGCACACAAGGCACATACAGAGCGGCGACACAAGCGACCACGGTGCCTGTCAGTATCCAGCTTGCTCTGTGCTCCGCGGACATTTTGTTTCTTTCAGGGGAAATACGAATAATTTTCACTGAAATGCCTCTTAACTAGCGCGCTAACGTTAGCGTCCATGTATTCCAGACCCTTCGGGGTATAAATAAAACTTTGACCTACGTCTAAAACGATGTTGGGTAGAGATTAAGTAAATTTAATTTAGTTCTAAGTAAAACCTTTGCATAGTCTTCAGCACACTTGCAGAAGAGTGTGCTGAGTTAGGTCCTTCCTGCCCGCGGAAAGTAGCAGCCACATTCACGCCGACTGGCTAACCTCGCGATATTACCGGACACGCTTTCCTCATAAGTTGCATTACTCATTGAATTGCTGTTTCTTGCTTTGTAAACAAAGGAAACAAAAACGAGCGTTTCAAATGAGGACGACCAGTGTTTTATCTCGGACGTGTTGGCCAAGCAACATGGTTATGACTACTTCCTGGTTCACTCAATGTCATTCAGGAATGTGCATCAGTCTTCTTTCATCACTTGTATCCACAGAGCTGAACGGGGAGGGGTTGGGTCTGCATCTTTACGCTAGCACGACAGTTTATTTTTCTGTCAAAATTAGTCTAAAAATTGAAAGCCTTTCCTTTTTGCGCTTTACTCATAAATTTTAAAACATACTCAAGTTTTCAGGTTTTCTTCCAAGTATAATATTGTGTGCTAAAATGTACAGAAATGGAAAGAACTCTAAATCTGGCTAATTTGTAAACTGAAACTACATATGCTTATGAAAAGTATGTGTTAAAGTCTAAAGGCTCAAACCAGTTACTTAAAGGGACCTGTTTGTGATTACTATTCATTGCCAGGCACTATTTTGAAGGATCAACATGCAAATATGCATTTTCTAATGCATATAATTTCTCAGTGCATTTCAAGAGCTTTAGTTGAGAGGGACTGCTGAGTATCTCAACTCAAACATAGCCTGCCTTCCCTCATTTGGAGGGGTTGTTTTAAGCCTTACAGTGAAAATGGCATTATTACTGGATTAAAACATTATTATATTAAAGCTGTTACAGTACCTGCTTCAAATGCACAATTACATGCACAGTAGAGCACTAGATTATGCCAGAAACAAGATACACGAATTTGTAAATGTATCACAAGTGTCCATATTTCACAGGTTGAGAGGTGACTGTAATAAAGAAATTGCCCTATTGAACTGATAATAATCCCAGCCCACCATAAATGACTCTGATCCTTCAGTAAATTGAGCCCTTGGTGAGGTGGAGTGGTGTCAGCACCTAACCAACTCTCAGATGGCTCTCTAATCCTCCCGTCCCTCTCACCACCACCCTCACCGTCTAATCAGACTTGAACACACACATAACACTCACACCCATCTGACACACACAAACCAAAGTACTCACCCTTCCTCATACTGGGGCTCAGCCATCTCTTCAGTGTGATGTCACTGCTAATCCAAGCTTGGTTATCCACTGGGGTGCAGTGCTGGCAAGAGGGATGTGGGGAGGAGATGGGATGAATTTGTGGTGGTGGATGGCGGGGGGTGAGGGGTAATCAGGCACGTCATAAAGACTTCTCTCTAAAACCATCACTTCCATTAGCCCCTACCACATAGAAAGCTAGTCTTGTACCCAAAATGTACTACATATGCGCAAATGCTCATTGGAGCGCCAATATGGACACATTTCAGCTCTGATATTGGAGATAAAACACAACTGTAGGCATATTCGCAGCCATGTAGCTCATATTTGGGGCACAGAGGAATCATTAGAGAGCCAGCTGGATTAAGACCCCCCCCTTCTATCCCATGCATTCACAAAATAAACGCAGGGCCTTTATATTGACAGCTTGTCCAAAGAGAGGAATTACCCACATGGTTGAGGCCCTCGTTCCATATGGCGGCAGGCTATTAACAAACATTAGTTGACTGTAATAGCAGCAGTATTAAATTCATTATCTTTTTCAGATTGTATGTGAGGTGTGTGACTTTGTATGCGTGTGTTTGTGTTTGTGTGGAGTGCCCACACTGTGTGCCAGCATGTGTGATTAGAGAGTTCTAATGTTCCAGCTCTGGGGATTTGTAGCATAAGATAAGAAAGGGCATTAACGGTGAATTGTGACGGTCTAGTGGAGCAAAACTGTTGTTTAAAATGTGCGTATGCTTTCTTTGCCGAGTCCTTTTTACATGAAAAATTAGCATTTTGTCTCAGATTTTTGTTGCTGATTTTTTTTTAACTCCATGCTATACATACAGAAAAAGAGCAGCCACGCACGAGAAAGTGGCTGACTGCAGTTCCATCTATTTGATTTTGTATTTTCCTCACTTAACCTACCACATATCTGTTTTAATCTTACCTTAAGCATCCTTGAAATGAGGTGTAATCCACTTAAGCCCCTTTGAATCTGCTTCACAGCCATATTACACCCATTCGTCGACTCATAAACATTCTCTCTGCTAAACAGCTGCACATTGCCGGTGTCCACGAGCCAAAATGTACATTGTGTTGACGCAGAAAGATTAAAACTCTGCAGTATTTGCACTTGCAAAAAGAGCAGCCATGTTTACTCAACCTTCTCTTGCTTACAATCAATGGGCAGCATGCAGACAGGGTGAGAAATAACTGGATAGCATGTACTTTTCATAACATTGGCTCTGTGGGCCACTGCAATGCATATGAAATAAAACAATCAAGATGCATTTGATGTGCGCACTCTCAGCTTTAATTGAGGGGGTGGAACAGTTTTATACACAGCCCTACCACCTCCTCCCCCTTTGGCAAAGTCTCAGATGCAATTGGACAAATTAACATAATCATAAATAAAATGCTAATTTTTAATACGTTGTCAAGAATCCTTGGCATGCTGCGCCGATTGGCTGAAGCCTGGAACCCACAGACATTAACCGGGGGAGCGGATCTCTTGTTGTTGTTTCTGGTTCTTTCTGACTTATTTGTCTTCATTCAGATGCATGCTGTTAATATATCAGCCCATGGATATCAGTGTACAGTGAGCACCATAAAAGTGTAATTACATGTAATTACAGTACATAGTGCCAAACTAGTTTTCACATCCCTGAAAAACAGTCTCACTTTTTTGTCCAATAAAAAAACAGGTTAATGCATGTTTGGTCACATCACTCTGGGAATATCATTTGGAATCGTAACGAGGTAATTTTATGTTTTATGTTTTTGTTCATGTTTTGTATGTTTTTAACAAAATTTGGTTAATAAAGTTAGATCATTCTTGAATTTGTAGACCAGGTCTCTGTGTACAGTAAAGCTGCCTCTCTTTTGCTCCACGCAGCCTGGCCCAAATAGTCAAAAGACAAAGCTGCGAGAAACAACAAGCATTAACGCTGCGCTCTTTTGCAAGTGGAAAAAATACAACCATTCCCTGTAAAATGTACATGTAGCGAGGCCTTGAACCACAGAATAGGTCTTCAGAGAGATTAATTCTCCTCTGTGATCCAGTTCTCATTACAACAAGCAGGGGACTCAAACACACATAATAACAGGGCTGACTGCTGTTCCTTTGTAACATGTGGCTACTTAAATGATCCTAAATAAGATAGATGACAAGGATAAAGCAAATCATAATCGGCATTTTGCACAATGGAACATAATAGTCTGCGGAGAACAAGGGACAACATACAGAGCTCCTGTTTTCATCGCCTGGAGCAGCACACCTAGTCGAGAGCAATTAAAATGAGAGGATTCAATTTTGTCAAACACCAGGAACCTGAGATAAATATTGTATCTCATTTTCCAGCGTGAGGACACTCCCTCGTGTTGGTGCTATCATGTTTGTTATGGTATTTTTAAGAAACAGCTGGCTGCCGACAGACTTGGTAAAACAACCCCACCCCTGCCACCCTCCCACCCTTTCCCCAAATCATGCTAATCCCAATCATTTCAGTGTGAGACGCAGGGGTGAGGAGACGTTAGAGTCGGGTGAGGCCGTGAATAAAAGATGGTTTTAGACTGAAAATTTAGACAGAGCAGAAGGGGGAGGAGGGAGAGAGCAAGGCGGCACGTCACTGCATGGTTTCCATGTGGGAGCAATCCACTTACTTGAACTGATAAAGATTTAATTAACACAAGACTCTGCAATTACTCCATAATTAAAGTAATTTGTCCTCTTGTTTGGATGAGTAGGCAAGACGCTGCATGTGCCCGTGTAAGAGCAGATGAGAGAGAAAAAAAAGGGGGGTGTGAGATGCTCAGAGAGGCAAAGTATGCCCCCATTTTAGTATTTGAATTTAATGCTTGATTTTCCAAACCTATTTTTCCCTACATATGTTCTAATGAAATATTTGTATCGGCTTCTCTTTAGCCCTGTGTTTATTTGCCTTTTATTTGACAACTCATTTGTTATTCATTGAGAAAGTAATAAGCTGAGTAGGCTGAGTACAAAGTATCATCAAGAGCCACATGAAATAGTAAATAGGCCTGATATAATCATAATCCTCTTCAAACTGCACTGCATACAGCTTTGAATTGTGTAGTGCTACAGAGCTGGCTGCAAGCTAAAGGAGACAAATGCACGCACACACGCAAAAAAAGTGGGATGGTTTTGTTTGACAACTCAAATTGCATGACTCAGAAGTGAGAGGAGAGTCCTGTGTGAGGTGTTTGACCTTGGGCCTGGATAACAAAGGCTGGACCTGACTTAAAGTAAGACATGCAGGTGTTTGATTGAAGCAACAATTAGTGACTAATCACTCGAGACAGAAATAGTGAGGAATTAGCAGCACAGTCCAATATGTGGCACTGTGCTGCGGCAGTCCAATTTGCAAGAAGATTAAAAAAAGAAAAACGAAAAAAAGACCTGCCAAGTTTACTATTAAAAAACCAGGGAGACAAATGTGTCTTGTGTTAGCTTCTGAGGGTTGTATGTGCTGTTAGAGCACTATCTCTTATTTACAGATGATGATCTGCATATAATTTGCCTCAGTTGCACGCTGGGTAATTGAGGTAAATATCACAGCATTCAACTTGCCAGCTGAGGTATCCCACTGATAGCTTGGCGTACAGCCCGCAGCCACCTGTGGCATTTCACATGTTAGGTGAAATCACAGGGCAGACTGACAAAAAGAAAAGGAAAACATGTAAGGCAACTAAGGCACAACTCTGAATACAACCTTCAGATGTGTAACAGCTGGGTGATTGACAACTGTTGTTGACTTTAATCCAATAACCTATATATTGCTGGCTGTTGTTAGAGGGGGGAAAATGTCATCTAAATATCTGAGGAAGTGGCACGATCACTGTTTAAAAGTTTCAGTGGGTTTTTTTTGGGGTTTTCTTCAAGGCTGCATGCACTTACAACTGATTGCTCCCCACCAGCCACATTTTGAAGCCAGGCCTTGAAAACTGTTTGGATTTCATTACTATCACTATGTGCAGGGGCCTACCCAG